TCAATCCGTAGATCACTGTGGTTGTACGGCAGCGAAGCATCAGATAAAATGGCAGATGTACTGATATCGATGATGAAGAAGACCACAAAGAAGGAACAACGGAGGAACACACTGGCAGTGAGACATCACAATACGAAGTAGCTGTATTGACCACATCTTCACTTTGCGTCATTTGTTGGAGCACGGTCACATATATTGGCAGCCTACCGTTATCGTGTTCCTCGATATCAAAGGTGCATTCGATTCGGTGGATAGACGTGCACTTTGGGACTGTCTAGTCAGGAAAGGTGTACCTGAGAAATATGTAAATATTATCCGAGCATTATACACGCGTGACTCGGGCAGAGTTTGGGCTTGCGGCGAGCTGTCGTCGCCCTTCAATATCTCCAGCGGTGAGACAAGGATGCCCGCTGTCACCTTTCCTCTTCAAATTCGCTTATTACGAAGTCATGGAAGTCGCGTACACAGGACCCGACATAGAAGGTGTGGATCTGCTCTCAGGAAAACGACTTCTTGACTTGGAGTATGCAGACGATATTGCTCTAATCTGTGACAGCTCCCAGACGTGCCAAGCGGCACTGGACAGATTAGCATTAGCTGTCCGTCACTTCGGGCTTTGATCGAACCCTAGAAGTGTAAAGCGTTCCTCTAAGATTGGCCTGGACCGCCTCCTGCGCTGACCCTTGGTGGGGATCAGCTAGAAATCGTCCAAAAATTCTAATACCTGGGAATTTGTACCAGCGCGCTTGGGACTGAAGATGAGATCACGAACCGTATGGCAAAAGCTCCAGCCGCCTTTGCTAATCTTCGCCATTTATGGCGCCGGCGCGACATCCCTCTCGCCCTGAAGGGTAGGGTGTACAATGCAGCGGTACCTTCGACCCTACTGTACGGTTGTGAAACCTCGCCCCTTAGATCAAGACATAAAGAGGCTAGTTCCGTTCGACCACCGGTGCCTTCGCAATTTGGCTCACATCTGGTGGGAACACCGAGTAAGCAACAAGCGTGTTCGACGTCTTGTTTACGGTACAGGAAGAGGAAATGAACCGCTCAGCACCGTTATTTCACGCACCAAGCTCCGATGTGGTTCGGTCACGAGTTACGCATGCCAGCCCAACGACGCCCGCGACGTGCGTTGTTTGTGCGCCCGAGACGTGGATGGAGCAAGAAGACGGGTGGCCAAGCGATGAGTTGGTCGAGAGGAATGAAGGCCCTCACTTCGAAGCTGGCCTCGGTTGGAGCGTTTCTGATCCCTGGTTGGGGTCCGAAAGACGATGAACACGTTTGGTTGGGTACACTTGCTGACATGGCTAGGAGCCGAACTCAATGGCGTTAGTGCTGTGAGTTTCTTTGTCCCACCCCATCCCTCTTAGCCTCCCCCTCCAAGCACGATCCCACTACTTAACCTTATGTAATTTTGCATGGTAAATTTTTTTGGTGCATAGTAGCCGGCTGATAGCTTACCGGAACGACGCCTATCCGTTACCGGTAGCTCAGCTGGCTTGCATCTGTTGCACTTCCCCTTTTTCTTTTGTGTATCGCGGCACAGTAGCTGAGGTGTTTCCCACCTTTAGCTAACGTGTATAATGATGATGACAATAAGACGCACAATAAAATAACAAGTAAGTTTGTCGTCGATGAAGTCTGATTGCAATCCGGTACTCCAAAGTCTAAAGAGAGCCGCACCACACTAATAAGTTTCAAGCAGCGCGACGCAACGGTAAGTCGAGTAGGAAGGGGTCAAAATGTTGCCCAATAATTATCAAGATTATCTGACGTTGGTCAGAGGTGAAAGGCACCCCGTTCATTGTGCAGGAGCGAAGTCCAACGACACAGGCGTAAAGGGAAGACAGAGACAAAAGCAAAGGTCGAGAAACTAAAACAAAAAATACCAGCCTTATTTATCTTGCGCGTAGATACTAAGATCATGATTGATGGGTTGGTTAAGTGGGATCGAGAGGAGCGAAGGAACTCAAAAGATGGGCGCCAATGAATTCGCTTCTACGTCAAATCCACAAAGATCTCCAACCAAACGTGTTCATTCGTTCTAATCCAAAGCAGGAAGCCAAGAGGCTCAAAGCGACGCCAACATAAAAGTGACGGGCATTTTTTCTACTGACGAAGTCATTAACTAACACATATCCCTCACTCGCAATGCAGCCCATGGTCGCACAAAAAACGCACATTACGGGAGTCTGTGTGCTGCCATTTGCAACACACGACGAAACCATCGAAGCGTGACGAGGAAAATAACAGTGCTGAGCAGTTTACTTGCTTTTCCAGCACCAAAAACAAGGCGCTGAACACACGAACTGCTCACACGGTATTCTGAACAGATATGAGCCAAACTGCGAAGGCACCGCTGGTCGAACGCAGATAGCCTCTTTATAGTTGTCGCGCTGATAGGCTAGGTTTCACTACCGTACAAGCGTGTTGAACGGATGGCTGCATTGGAGGCTTTATTCTGCAGGGCGAGACTGACGTCGCAGCTATGCCATAAGTGGTGAAGTAAACCAAAAGCGCCTCGCCCTTTGGCTATAGAGTTTGTCATTTCATCTTCCATTCCACATGCGCTAGTACGGCTGCTCAATTGGTTTAATTTCTGAACGACTTCTAGTTCATCCTTACCACGGGTCAGATAAGAGAATGGACCCTGTCAAGCTAGGAGGAAGGCTTTGCATTTTGAGGGTGCAAAAGATAATCCGAAATGGCTGGCAGCCGGTGCTGATTTTCCCAGTGGCATAAGGCACATTTGTGAGCTGTCATAAATCAGGGTAACATTATCTGCATACCACAATACGAGAAGTCCATCATCTGGGAGTAAGACCACCATTTCCAAGTAGTGTCCAGTGAAGGCAGTCTCCAAGACTTTTTCAATGGTACATTCAAAAAGGAGAGGTGACAGCGTGCATCCCGGCCTCTCACAGGCGGGTTTCAGATAATCAACAGTTTCGATCAATACGATCTCTCATACTCAGGCAAATGCTGCCTGTTGACCGATTTGCAGTAAAGTGCGCACGTCGAAGTATGCCAGTCCAAGCATGAATTAAGGGCTCTAAACGGAAGTGGATAAAGTTAGGTTGCTTCTTGGTTGAATATAGATTTGGTGTTAAGAACAGGACGAGTCATTGCAATTGCTTGTGAGTCGAACTTAGAAGACAAACGTCCATAGAAGCAAGGTGGTGGAGGGTTGGAACAGGGTGTATATAAGAGAGGTTGGAAGGCAACGGTAGATGAAGAAACGTAAAAGGGATGGTAATAATACAGGTAGGCCTGTGTAGTTGCACTCGGACCTAAATCTATCCTGTTCAACACAAGAGACAGCTCGCCGTTGAGTATTCGCAGCGACTGTCAGAGAATCAAAAACTGTTTGAAGAGAACTTCAGTGTATTGCGCGGACAGGAGACTATCAGGGCTAGACAAAAGAACGGTTTGGGTTCTCAGCCAGAGCCTATGGTTAGAAAACATCAAACAAAGAAAAAGGAGTTAACAGTGGGCTACAGATAGTATTGATGAAGGTAAACTAGTAGAAGTGTGTTATCTCGACTTCAGTAAAGCTTTTGCCTCGGTGAATCACCGGTTCTTCTTAGAAAAAAGACCTGGTTTGGACTCCATCCTCAGTGGCTTTCTTGGCTGTCCGCATTCCTTAACGGTAGGATATTCCGCGTAAGGGTTGGTACTACTTAAAGTGGAGTTCCTCAGGGATCGGTACTCCGTCCGTGGCCATGTCGCATGTTCATAAATGACTTGGCCACTCTACTTGAAGACCCCTCCTGTAGGTTTGCTGACGACTTGAAGCTTGTTAGCAGGGGCGACAGGGCTTCGCTATCCGGAGATTTTGCTTCCGTTCTAAATTGGTTACACTTATAAGACTGAATACTGAACACCAGCAAATGGCAAATTTTAACTCCGTGTGATGAAGAGTTTGCTGTACATACATCTAATGGGTCCCCAAAACTGCAGCGTGCCACCGAGACACGTGATCTAGGTGCCATCGTGACGAGGAACTTTAAGCTCTCGGTGCAGTGCAAGCATGCGGACAACAAAGCGCGACAGGAGTTATTTCGTCTCAGGATGGTTCTGAATTATACCAAGCCAGAGTTCATTTTTTCCTAGTTCAAAGATGTGGTCAGAACACATCCGGAATATTGTGTTCAGACCTAGGCACCCTACCTGCAGAAAGATATTAATTGTGTTGAAAATATGCAGACTGTCCACTGGAATGATAAAAGATCAGCGTGGGTTATCGTATGAAGATCGGTTAGCTAAGCTAGGTTTGTTTTCAATGAGGAGACGCAGACTGAGAGGTGACTTTATAGAAACATCCAAAAATATGAAGGGCATCAGTGGTCTCAAGTACACTGAACTGTTTGAACCAGCTACATCAGACAACTTGCGGGGCCATTGCATGAAATTGAAACCGCAAAGATCTAGACTAGATTGAAGAACCAGGTTCTTCGCAAACTGGGATGTGCCTAGTTGAAATAAACTTCTCTCTACCTAGATAAAAATTAGTTGGCCCTATTCCAAGAATTTCCATGAGATTTGGTAACTGCCTCTAATCTCATAACTTCATGAAAGCGTATTAATTGGTTTGCACTTGTTTGTTTTTCTCCATTATAGAATCAAGAATGTTTTATCAACTCGTAGTTACGAGGTGCTCTTTTTCGCTTACTAGCACAAAAAACGCGACGCTCGTTAAGCGGAAGCTTGTTTCGTCCCTGGATTCTGTCCTGTTTCAGGGAGTAAATACCGACCCATATTTCAACCTCCAACCTAGAGGACCAGGAAACTGAGTTGTTATGACCTCTAACCATTGATCAATCTGTCATGATTGTCTCTGAGGGTGCAAAAAGTAGCAGCCAGCACGACTCAGTGAATTGCTGAGGTACACAAACTATCACACCACGTTAAGTTGGACTCTCGTCGCGATGAACGTTTCCGAATGAATAACATGAAAAGCTAGTGTGTAACAGAAAGAGTTAAGACCAAACACTTACCTGACGAACAAATTCATCGTAGGCTACTTTTTGGTCGCCATCCTTGTCAGCTGCCTTGACCAGAGTGCTGATCTGCCTTTGAGGTAAATCGGAATCACTTAATAAACTTTTGAGTTCTGCCAAAGGAATTCCATCGGAGTTGTACTGAATATGAGCAAGACGAAGTTAGTTTACCTTATCAAATGCCGGTTTGAAGTTCTAGAATGAACGGTGAACAAGACAGGTTCACTTACTTTATCAAGTTTTCGCCTGAGTCGTAGTTCTCTTTTGGAAGGCGGCATCGTCCTCGCAATACGTCGAAAATGATAGTGCCAGATTAACGCCGACGTGTAGGTTAGTCAAAAACCTTCATGTTGTGAAGGAGTACTCTAGCAAGTAAGAGGCTTCAGTAAGCTGGAACAGGAAAGGAAAATGTTTTTCACGAGTTTGTGCTATTGTTTAAGTCACGAACCAACAACAAAGGAACAAGGGTAAAACAATAACAGTGTTCAGTCATTTTCATACGATTGGACCTTAAAGTGATTCCCTGAACTAGGATGGTTGCCATTTGCTAAGCATCTTCAGCGACTCACTCCGGGCATGTTAGTGGTTAGAAATCTGAGTAATTCAGTCTCAGCATTCTCTCCATTTCACGCACCAGGCTTCGATGGCTCGGCCATATGTTACGTATGCCAGCCCAACGACTAACGCGACGTGCGTTGTTTGCGCGCCGGGAGTGTGGATGGAAGAGGTTGCCAAGCGATTACTTGGTCGAGAGGAGTGAAGGCCCTCACTTCGAAGCTGACCTCAGTTGGAGAGTCCCGGCTCCCTGGTTGGGGTCCTAAAGACGATGAATACGTTTGGCTGGATACACCTGTTGATATGGATAGGAGCCGACCTCAGTGGCGTTCGTGCTGCGAGTTTCTTTGTCCCACCCCACCCCTCTTAGCCTCCCCCTCCAACAATGATCTCATTATTTAGCATTTGATAATTTTGCATAGGAAATTACTTTTTTGGTGCACAGTAGCCGGCAGGTAGCTGACCGGAACGATGCCCATCCGTTACCGGTAGCTCAGCTGGCTTGCACCGGTTGCTTTTTTCTTTTATGTATTGCGGCACAGTGGCTGAGGTGTTTCCCACCTCTAACTAACGTGTATTGCGTGTGTGATTCTCTTCATTTAGTGTTGCATAAAGGTCGGAGATTTTGATCCCTCGGAACAGCTGCGGTAACAAAACCAACCTAAGTACAGCATTCGTGTGCCACGAGTTAACTCTTATGATCGAAAAGCAGCACGCTTGAGTAATGGTTCGCTATCGCCCATCTCAAACCAAGTAGCCGCCGACCAATCAAAACGCAAACTCACCAACTCACATGCGTAACTTCGATCGAGAAACAAGCATGAAGTAACCCGAATCTTCCAAAGCTCTGTGGGACTCTGCAGACACATGGTCGAGCAGTCTGTTTCTTACCATATGTTGCGACAGTTCTTCGAGCCAGAGATCCCAGAAGTTTGTGTTAGAATGAGAGGCCAAAGCCAAGTTAACTGGGACAAAATCCATTCTCAGAGTGGGCAACCGGAGATTAATGTCTACCCAGAAGACGCCGTTGCCGGTAACCTTTATTCTTCAATTTACTTTGCTTTTCGCAACTAAGAGACCATAACAGACTTTCATCAGCAAGCTTCCCTTCATGATGGACCGATCGACACTTGCCATGAATTTACACCCCTACTTCGGAGTTGTTGTGTTGTGTCTTCGAAATATGCATGTGAAGCAATATCGTTTTAATTCATCTGTACTTACCAGCCCCAGATTTCAGTGACAGGACTCATACACTTCCTCTCTGGTGACGCGTGACCAACGGATAGCTGTATACAAGGTGTCAAAGCCGCTCCCAGTGCGCTTGCAGAGTCCTAGTTTCTATAATGGACCCCAGTAAACAGCAAGTCATTCGATTTCAAAAGACCTGTGGCTCAAACGCTCGAAACTATGCCCCAAAACCGGATGCAGTGGAAACCAACCGCGAAAATTTGGGAGAATACTTGATTTCAAGCGTAGTAAGTCCCAAAATCGCAAAAACGGGGTAAACCGGACAAAGATACCGATGTATATTTTTCGTATAAATGGGTCCATTTCCAACTTGTATATTTTACTCGTTCCCTTGATTTCGAACTCTGTTTATAAGTATGCATGGTTGGCGGCATCCTATATCGGATTTAAATGTCATTGTGGCCAGCCATAGGACGCTTGCACCGAAAAAGGGACCATGGGTGGCTTGTGCTGCACCACCCACAGCTTCAACCACACCCCATAACCGGTGTAAACCAGAAGGAATAAGACCAGGAAGCGCGTAGATGAGAGCCGGCCCATACTCCTTCACAGGCAAACACAAGCACGCTGAATCTGGGAGTCAAGCGCACACAAGGCGGTAGCTGGAACGTGGTCCGCTCTACGTTGACTGCATGGAACCACTCTTTGATTCTAACACGGCCACAAGGACCGTGCACCCCGTCCCCTCCAGCAACGACCAACTGTCTCCTGGAGCCAGTATGGACGAGGTAGTGGGTAATAGACAGGTAGGCACCTTGTCAACATGCACATCAAGCGCAGCCTCACCGAGGATGTCAAACAACAGCCAATCATTTGAAACGACAATATCAAATAAAATAAGTCGAATAATGCATAGAGATATATTTCTATACAATGAAGTCGACATAAACATATGGTTGGTGGCATTTAGTTCAGCATTTACCTGTGCCTGTGGCTTGTGTTGAACCATTTACAGCTCCATCCACACACCGCATATCTAGTGAGAACCCGAAGGAATAAGAGCGACAGGCATATGGATAGAGTGCAAAAGTCATAAACGGAACCAGTCCACACTCCCACAACACACACAGCAGCAATATTCCTGTTTATCAAATTTGGGAATCATGCATAACAGGTAAACAAGGCGTACACCAGACGTGCGCACATGGCTGGGCCGTAGCCTGTTCCACACCAGATGCATGGAACAACCTTCTGAACATAGCCCCGCCGCAAGGACCGTGTAATCCGCCACCCAGCAAGGACCAACTATATCCTGGAGCCAGCATAAATGAACTGGTGGGTAATGGACTGGTAGATACCATATCAACGTTCACAACAAGCGCAGCCACACCGAAGATATGAAGCAACAGCCAACAGCTGAAAGGGAAAAAATTAAGGACGCAGGCACACGTGCGGACCAACTGTAACGATGTTGTAGTACACGCACCAAATCAACCGCCTCGTTGGCCTGGGATAGTAAAGCGAATGGAAGCGGACGCAGCAAAAGCTGTGCTGATGCTGATTACATAACCAGTTGACTCGTCACCTTTTGGATGCTGGCCCGGTGTTGACACGCTGGTGGCTTACTAAGCCGTCTTGGCTCATGCACTCGCGACCGCATGTGCTACGGTACCATGGGCTCGTCGCTTCCGTACACAACGTTCCTCTTCCGCAAGTAACTGCTTTTTCCCGTACCTCGGCAACTGCCATCTTGATCAGTCCACGTCATTCGCGCCGATTCATTGCCCAACGCCTTAAATCAATATTAGTTCATGACAAAATCGCCTTGGTCATGTTCTGGTAACGAAGCGTCGGCTTTCCCGTATGTGCATCCTGCACTGTTGGCTGTACAAAAGTGATTTAGGTATCCTCATCGAATTCTCGGCTAATATGCCCCAGCCATCTCAGGCACAGCAACAGAAGTATGCATTCCACTGCATACATGCCACTGGGGCGCAGCACTCCAGTGTCTGCCACACCATCGCACCAGTCGATAAGCAGAATCCGCCGCACTGTTGATGAAACCGCTCTAGATTTCTCACATCTCGCCGTTACATCGTCCACGTTTCGCTGCAGTATGGAAGAACAGACATCACCGTAAACTTGTAAACCATCAGCTTTGTGCTAACGGTAAGCTGATAGGATGATATAACACTACCAAGGTAGCAAATTTTCGGTGCTGTCTCCAACACGACATTAGCGATCTGCATTTGAGGCAGGCCTACGGAATCCACTCTTGGGGAAGGCTGGAAAACACAGTCCTGCTTGTGTTGATGGTGAGCCCGAATCTGGCCGCTGCCGAAGCCAGACCACTAGTCATGTGTTGCAACTCATCCGCGCTGTGTGCAAACAACCCACAGTCGTCGGCATACAGCAACATACGTATAGCTGTCTCACACATTAGGGTTCTCGGATCAAAACGACGGATGTTCAGCAACCCACCATCAAAACGGTGCTCCACACAGACACCGTAAGCACAAGCAACACCAAAAGTACATCATTGCATCATTGCAGGGTAGGGGCTAAAATACAGTCTTGCTTCGCACCAGAAACATCAGCCAACCGAGGTTCGTCCACCAAGTAACACCCTCGCCCGCATGCCATTGCGCAGACACTCAATTAAGATTATAAACTACATCAACATCATCATCATCAACAGCAGTACATCAGCCATTTGAACTGATGCTTCGCTGCCATACAACCATGAGGACCTATGAAATAAAGAATAAGAAGAGGGAGAGAAGAAAGACTTACCGGAAAACCTTAATGCCCTAAGCAAACATTCAGGGTCAAGGTGCCTACACCTTGTGTAGACAACATACCATCACAAACAGCTGGCTATCGTGCAAAGAAAAGGCGGCATCGGCGAGACAGCTTCCTTGCGGCTTTCACTGCCACGCGTCATAATCAGCCATTACCCCGCAGACAACTCGACACCAAACACACTTTAAACAGGCAATCCGATTAGAAGACGGCAGCAGATCCGCAACTGGTATCTACTGCGAGCCATGTCCTGCAGTCTCGAGCCAAGCACATAGTGAGTCACGTGTACCCCAACCCGGAAGGCGAGACGTACTAACGACACCCAGTTTTGTCGCCAGTGACTTCATTTCCCGCTGCCAAGTCAACTTCTGTCCACCTCGAGCCTTGCACCATCCTACACCTGGAAGACTGAACAAAGCCCTCCAAGGTAAACAGTGACCAGGCATACGTAGCACGCGCCTGAGAAAACGCGACTTATTCATTGCTATCTGTTGTTCTAGGGAGCTAGCATGATTATCACCACCTAGTACTCGCCCACGCACATCATCATTGCGGGCACGCTGGTGCCATCCGACACCAGCAATGCTTCGCAGACAACGATGATCAAAGACTTGAAGGCGCCTCAGATCTTCAGACCGAAGGGGCCAAGTCTCATTACCATGGAGCAGAAAGGCCCACACCGTGGCCTTGTATACCCGGCCTTTCAGACGGAGGGAAACTCCATTCTGTCGCCAAAGAAGTCGCAGGTTCAACCAGGCAGCTCTGCCCTTGCAATGCGTCAGCCGACGTCAGTTCCTATGCGCCCATCATTGCTGATGCAGCTGCCAAGATAAGTGAAATGAT